TCCTCCAAGCTTATTATTGAATCTCGAACATGAACATGCATCGATTACTGTAACTCATTTCTCTTATGCAACTTAGCTTATCATCTAGTTAAATGCTGTTTCTTTGTATATTCACTTCTACATTTCTCTATTGTTTTTCTTGCGCTCTACCCAGGGCAACTTGTTGTGCTCTTATGGACCCCGGAAATAAATTACATTCAATTAAGCTGAGACTGCGGAATCGATTTGTACACGGTATAAATTATTCAGGCTTCGAGACCGGTACACGTCAGTAATATCCCGACTACAAGAACCAGTATCCCTTTGCAGACATTGTTTGATTCGAGATAAACCATGCAGTGTTAATGCAAAATAACTAAGGAGTACACTGAAAATCCCATATGTTCAGAGAATAAAATACGTTCTTCTGTTATATCCAAGCTTTCTCATCATATTGAGGCCACCTCCCGACTACCTACACCTGCGTTTAGCATTGAATAGAGGCCGACAGGCAACTAAAGTTAAATGTGATGTTTTGACAGAGGTCCAATTCTTCTCCTAATGCAGTTGGCATGGCCATATATATGTATGGCCTTTTCAAAAGGAAATTTCTTTTATCAAGCAGAAAAATTTACACTGATCAAGAAAGAAATAATCAAAATCATAATAGTCCTTTCACTGATTGATGTACCGACATATTCACCTTACAGTAAATTTTGTCTTATTTCGTAAATTCCCACGCACACTTATCGTTTTCGCCCTGTTTCAGACCGTCGCTTACTAAAATGCATATTTGTTTTCTCAGTGTAAAGAATGAATAGTTGAAACTGAAGCTGGTCGACCTACTAACGATATTCCAATGTACGCTTTAAATATTTTGAACATGGTGTAAAGTTTCCGAATCGACAAGCCTTTCAAAGAAATGCAATGACTGTATGATGCTTAGGTTTGTTTAATCGCACATAACAGAACAAACTTGGCGACTTCATGGAAACCGAGCATCGAGCGTTTTCGTTCAACAGATACTGATCGGTTCCACAAAACAAACCTACGTCACTAATATTAAAACAAAAAATCAACGTATGAACAACAACCAATGGCCCAATTCGTCAATGATATCAACAAGTGATCGGCACGAAATCTGTTAACGTAAAACAAAAAAAGTCTGCACCATATACAAACTGAGTTGAGCAACGTATAAAAGATCACAAAGCTTATAAAGCAGCATGAAAAAACACTTCGACGTTGTTTTCCCAAGAGATCGGCAAAGCGATGCCGGTCTTCTTCGCTGCCAAGTACACCGCACCGAGGGCCGGAGACGCTTTCGGCACGTACAACGTTATTTCGTCGAACTGTCGGTGTTCCGCGTTTTGGTATCTGAGCGTTTCAAGAAAACCTGAAATTTCCTTACTCGGCAATCAAAAATTAAATAAAGAATTTTGTTTGTGTCTCAGTGGTCATACTGAGAAATAGCATAAAATATGAGTTGTTAATTTACAATATGAAATGTGGTCAATCACGATTTTTACCAATATCGACGGTTTGGCCCCTGTCTCGTGAATTCTTTACAACGTATATGGTTGGTGGAATCAGAGCTAGAAGGTCAGCTTTTGGCTCATGGTGATAGTCAAATGGTTTCTAGGTGACAGCGTTCATCCAATCCGCGCAGAATTCGCATTCTTTGTTATGACTGACACTGTCACAGGACTGGATGACTGATGTCTCCTTAACACGCCGGTGCAGCTAGGCCAGTGTGTTTCTTTGATAAAGCATAAAGTGAGGCATGACCTACTGTAGCATGCTTGAACTACATCTTGAAAGGACACAGCAGAAGATTAAGTCGAGGATATATCTGTTACGACAATTGGTCGGCATCTCTTGGGGTGCAAGGGCGCGAGTGCTGCGTGTCACGGTACCAACGCTCGCGTGCTCTCTTGGAGTACTGCTCTTCCGTTTAGAGCTACAAATGGCACCAAAAAAGTATACAATAAAGCACGCGAATTGTAGCAGGAACAGTGAAGTCAACCAGAACGCAATGGTTCTCGATTCTGGAGACATTTTGAGGCTTCTCACCTCCGAATGGGTGAGCGGGCGTCCAACGTTTCAAATCACTGATATAAACTGTCAGCTTCTCATCCAACGTGTGTTTCAACAGCCGCCGATAAGATGCCCTGAAATTACGCCACCAACCGGGTAACGAGCGACTGAGTCTCGAGCGGTAAGATACTACAGTGGCCTGAAACAAAGACCTTATCTTCAACACGACAAGATAACCCTCCGGCACCGAAATGGCTAGCTAAGAATGGTCGATGCTAAATCGGAATCGGACAAGACGGGGCGGGGG